TTTTTTTGGTTACAGCTAACTGGCTGGTATCTTTAGCAGTAATTTTCAGAAATCTGATTATTGGTTTTGGGAAGACTTTTGGTAATATATAGGCAGTTTTATTTAGATTGGAATCTTGTCACGCTTCTTCCTATATATCGTGATTCGCCCTATTTTTGTATTCGCTCTTGCTCATCTTGTTTTTTGTGCTTCTGAATAGAATATTTCAGCTGACATAGCGGTGGTGTGACAGAAGCTCATAGGACTGTAGGTAGTAAACTGGCAAAACATGACGTAGCAAAAATAAGTGATGTTCTTCAAAATTATTTTTTTACTTTGTATGTAAGATTTGAAAAGTTTTTAATATTTACCTCTAAATTTTTTGAGTGTTATTTCAGTGTAATATATGCTCAAAAACGATCATTGAGTTTTGCTGGATTGACTGAATGGACCAGCAACTAAAGCTGCGAAAACGCTTGTTTCAGTTAATCCAGGCTTCAGTTGTAAGGGGGTAGTTGTAATGTAGACTAGTATGACTAGTCAGAAATCTCTGTATTGGTTTGATACAAGAATACTTACTCTTAACTTTATTACGCTAAGGTCGGCTCGGCATGGCGCTTCACTTTTGGAAAGTCTGTTTGAAAGTTGTTCGATAAGTTCCAAACGTTGCTTTGTTTCTGTAGCATTCCATCGTTCAGTTCGCCTTTTCAGTCGTTCACGCAGCATTATGTGATAAAACTGCAAAAATTTTTTTTTTCATTATTTAGAGAATTATAGCAGAAGTTGTTGTAGCAAACTGGCTGTATAAATTTTCTGAAAGCAACAGATAGTGATTTTTATTAAATGACAATTGATGGGAAGATGAAACTTTACTTCAGAGGAGAAAAAAAACTTGCAAATCGTTGTAAAATAACTGCTGCATTGTTTTCAGTTCGCTCTTTGAACTTTTGTCTGATTTTTTCACTTTCCGATAGTTTTACCACTGTTGGTTGTCGAAGTTCCGATCGTAAATATTCACCGACTTTAGATGCATGCATATTCTGGATTGTTTTATACTTCATCAGTTCATATGCTTTTGCTTCTCGTACAGTCTCCAGCTTTTTCAAAATTTCTGCATTGGACTTCAGCAGGACCATTATTTTTTGATTCCTAATCACAGATTACTGTAGAGTATCAAAAATTTTTTTCTCCCCTAAACATAAGATTTGAAGATTTTAAATGCCGAACCACAGGAACAATTGCAGAGATACCGTTTATCAACATTTGTTTTTGATTGTGAAATTTCGACGTTCAAATCTGTTTCTGATTCTCCGCTGACGTTACATAATCCATTGTCGGTTTTTGCTCGTGCTGTCACCGATTTTTTTTCGATGGTTACAGTTACGATTGAATCACTGTTTGGTATCATCTGAATTTTGTAGTCATTAATTGGCTGAAAAAATGAGTTGGTCATTATCTGTTTTGTACAAGAATCATTAAATTTTTTTTTGTGCTAGTGTTTGTCGATTGGATTTTGACCAAACGTATTTTAATGATTGTATCAAAGACGATAGAACATTAAAAACTAACAATTTTTTTCCCCTATCATTTTATTGTAGTTTGTTTTTTTTTTCTTGCTAAAATTGTAGAAATTGTTCAGTTCAATCTTTTTTTTTTCAATCCAGTTTGTAACTATCCAATTTGCACAGTAAATGTCAGTGGTTAACAGCTTTTACACCTGGAATCAATGCTAGAAGACTGATTAGAATGACATTTAAATTTTACAAATTAAAAGAAGAAAAGACAGCATTAGTAACTTTATTTTTTTGCTTAGAAGCCTATTAGAGAACAATGCTTTTTCCGAAAGAATATTTGTCAGTAGAGCTTGGAGAAAGTACAGCAAAACAGAGTGAATAATCTGTGTTTAGGCGTCAGTAGTTTTTAGTTTCCTTGACGACGATTTAATTTTTAACAACAACAACAAAAAATCGGAGTTGAATAAATGAATAAACTATATAAGTGGCAATCCTATCAAATAAATGGAAAAAGAAAAGGATTTTTTTTACTCAAAAGCATGAAATCTAAATCTTTTTCCTAGTCTACTTTTAATTAGGTTTTTTTTTCTAGCCTAAGTAAAGCGGCAATTAATAATTACTTTTAAGGTCAGTAGGAACAACTGAAATTGACGACATCCTCTGTGTCGTGTATGTACCCACCAAATACAGCTGTGTACGTACAAACATCCATCTTCAATTATTGATTTATCATAGTTTCGTTTGTTTTTCTTATTTTTTATCTTCATTTTTTATTTCCACTTTTTTTCTTTCACTTTATTTCGTCTGATTAATAACAGTTAGTAAAAACAAAAAGAGAGAGAAAAACAATAATATATCTTATAAATTATTCTTTTATTGCTGTGTTAGTCAGTGACTTTCCACCGTATCATCGTCGCTGTTTATCTGATACCGTTAACAACATCAAGACTGAACTACTGTAACCATTTTGTCCTGCAACCCCTTCGATTACTTGTACCCTTTCCGTTCTCAAAAAAAGGGGAAAAAAGTTGACCAATTTTTACTTCTTTGTAAACTGCTTTTTTGTAAAGGACATACTAAGATTGTTCGTATGTTTTGGTAAATTTCTATTGTTTCTTCTCATTAATAACTGTAAAGTCAGGAAATTATATCTGTAATTTGAAAATTGAACTTCAAAACCGTTTAGCAGAATCACTGTTGTTGAACACAAATTTAATATGTGCAATCCTTATCCAATTTTGCACTGTTTTAAGATTTTCCAAATTTTTCAAAACATATGTTTTAATAATTCACAATGAATAAATATCTATTTGTGGCCGAGTTTGTTTAACATTGTGCTACAGTTCAGTTTGAGAACTTCAAATCGACATTACCATCATCTTATGTAAATGTCATTGTATCTGATTGATAAGTTTACGACTGTTAATATCAGCTTAAACTATTGTAAAACAGTTGGCATCTTTAGGGCGTTGATGAAGATTTAGATGTTTTCAAAATGCAACAAAAATCAGCATCTGCGGCTTCAGCAGCAGTAACACCAATAATACAAATAAGGGGAATTAAAATCCAGTAATTTTAGGGACCAATCTTTTCTTCTGCCCAAAAACAGAACGCATTTTTAGTTGTTGTTAATACCCAAGTAGAGGAGGTCATTTTAAGGCGAAGAAATACTTATTACCAGTTGTCACAAGAATAAGTCATTGTAATAAGTTAGGGTGTGTAGCAAAAACGACACTTTTAATTCTATTTTTTTTGCTTCTAATTTCTTTTCCTCGAAACCAATAATATTTTTACGTCATAGCTCTCTAGAAATCTTTTCAATAGAATTAAATGATTAATTAAAACACTTAACTGTTTCATTGCCAAAACAGTGTTACATTTGGTCGCTGCTTTAAACCACCAGTTGTTCAGTGAAACTAACCGACAACAGCTTATTCGCTCCTCAATTAGTCATTGTGCTTTCAGCAATGTCACTGCCTTTTAAGGTATCCATATAAAACCGATAAATGACAGGCAATAAATTGAAATTATTAAATTTGAATGTGCAACTATTTTAAGCAAATTTTTTGCCTTTTTAAAAATTGTTTACATATTTTGTAGAATATTCTTTTTCTTTTGCAATTACAGCCGTTAATACCAATCTGCAAACATTTATTCAGCATAATTAATCTCAACCACTTTTATTGCATTATCGATGGACAATAATTTTTGCTCAGGTTTGGCATCCAACTATTAACTGCCAAATCAAGACGATAAAATAAGTGCTAAATTGATTTGCACCAAAAATATTCCTGCTTCCGTTATTCAGCTTGTGTTGGGACAACAATAACTGATAGTGTTGTGTAAATAATTGCAAAAATAGGAAGAAAAACTTCTTCAAAGCCTTAAATTTTGAAGTTCAATTAAAGTAAAATTAATCAAATCTACTATTACCAGCCGTACTGCATGTTCTGACAATTCGACAGACGGATAAATCTGACTTTCTGACCTGAACACAATAATTTGAAACTATATGAATTGTTTAGACAATTGGTAAAATTGAAAAACCAGTATAATACATAGGAATACACAAATATTGCTTCATACAGAAACCAGTCATGTTTAAAGGAACCAAATACCAAAGAACTATATGACGAATGGAATAACATGGAGAGGAAAAAAAATCCATGCTTGGGAAAATTGCACAGACATGCAGACTTTAAAAATGATGACGAAATATAAAAAAATTTCAGACAAAAACCATTTATTTTCGTAAAACTGTAAGGGAAAGAAGAAAAAAACAACTATCGCTTATAGCATTAAATGTTGCAAATCAAACCTGACAGCCGAAGTTATTGGCAGACAAATACAGGACTATTCCATAGGAAACTGGTAAATTTCTGCGTTCATCCAATGTTGTGGCCAGCAGTCTGAAAGTCATTAATGGACATGCATCTGTTGACACTGCTTAGCGGTTAATAGACCAACGCGGCTAATCCGTGGATACCTGTCTAAACACCCTACGCTTACTGGCCATCCTTCAGTGCTTCCCGTAGCCATCCGACCCTCGTCTTTAAACCGCGTGTATTGCAACAGACTGACTGCACAGACAGAATGGCTTTGGCGTAACGCCCACAATGGCTCTTTACGCCAGGGCAATCATCTTCCCGTAACTAGCCGTTCGGCCGGCAGATACACACAGAGTACTTTTTACTGTTAAGTTACATCCGCTGAACGTGGTTTTTTTTTTTTGAATGTGTTGTCGTCGGAGCGTTAATTTCCAGATTTTTTTACGTGAAGTTTTATCGGCTTTTTTTCTTTTAGTTAATGTCGTTTTGATGACTTTGTTGTTGTATCTGAAGACCAAAGTTTTAAGTCTTATTGAAGCCTGTATCGAACTGCACGTTTTGGGTGTCAAATATTAACGGTCATTTACAACAAAATTGTCATCATATAATATCTAACTACGACGCATAGTACTTATATACGTTTATGATGCGTATTAGTCGTTGATATTCTTTTCAACATTATTACTGCTGATCTTCTCGTTAATATTTCGTGGTTCTAATTTCTATGGGTATTGTACAAGTGTTCTCAAAACAACAACACTTCTGTACAGCTGTTAGTCGGACAGTTTTTTAATCTTTTCACTGTCTGTACTGAATCCAGTAAAACTATGGAAAGTGATGAAAAACCGGATCCATTGCATGCGTTAGTTGATAATAAGCCATCATTTATTATTTGCTGAAATTGTTTAGTGTTCTTTTCTTTCTCAATTCCTTAATTAAGAGAAATTTTTTTTTGTGATTGTTGAATAATGGTATGTACAGTGGGATGAAGTAAGAAAAATAAATGAGTAATATTTTAATAGGCTTTGAAATTTTGTTTTCAGAAACGTAAAAAATGTACAGTTAGATGTCCATTTGACCGAATCGGCAGTAATTGTTAGATATGAGTTCAACGAATCAAGTGTTGCAGATGTTGATAGTTCGCAGGATAAAAAGACTACTCTAGTTGAGAAAATGTAATTTTTTTTTCTTTTGACTTATTTTTTTCTTCTCAACTTTGAGTTGTTACCAAGAGGAAGAAATGCGAATGTGCCACTAGAAGTGGAAAATTTTATTTAGTGTTCGTTTGAAAGACTTAACTGAAGATACTGAGATTTCTGCTCTCGCAGAGTACGTAATCAAGTGCTGTCCTTTTATACCAGGACGTCGAATACCGGAACTTGAGCAAATTTTGTACTACGTACAGAAACGTCAGAAAGGAGCAACAGTAGGTTTGTCTTTTTTTTTTTTCTGGAAGGCTTATATTGGGGTTGCCTTTCACTTATTCTACCCATTTTATTTGCAAGTCTTTTTCGTTTCAAAAACAAAATTATTTAAGGGTTGCTCCCTAAGCGTTTTTTGAAGAGATAGCTAGTCAATGAGAAGAATTCTGAATTTTTGCCTCAAATTATCGTCTTATACAGATTTTGTAGCTCA